TGATCACATTCAACAGCAGGAATATGATGCAAATATTTTCAGTCTAACTAGTGATCCTCTTCAGTCTGAAAACCTCACTCTATACAACTGCAAACAAACCAAGGAACTGGCCTGGAGTTTTATAACTCACCAAGTCCTAACCGATATAAGCTGGGAAGATATACTAAGTAACACAGACCCCAATTTATGCCTAGATCAGATTAACTTGGTGGCACTCAATGTATGCACAAGGCTTATTCCTCTAAGAAAAAGGAGGAGTAGATGTAAAATAGAAAGAGACAGGCGCTCCCTTTAGAGGCGACGGAAAAGAATAACAGAGCGTCAATACATCTGAAATGCGTAGGGAGACACTGGTCAGAGAAATAGCAAGCATCGAACTTAAGCTAAAGGAATCTTATAGGAGTCAGGAATCGCGGGAAGAACTAAAAGCCATAAATGAAATCGAAAGAAACCCAAAGTATTTCTTCTCCTATGCCAAATCAAAGTCGAGAACAACGTCCAGTATTGGGCCCCTACTTAAACAAGATGGGTCCTACACAGATGACAGCAAGGAAATGAGTGAGCTACTCAAGTCCCAATATGACTCAGTTTTTAGCAAGCCGCTAACCAAAATGTATTTTTTATGAGAGAGCCACAGAATTTGGTTAACACAAGCCTATCCGATGTTATCCTGACGCCAAATGACTTCGAACAGGCAATAAATGACATGCCCATGCACTCTGCCCCCGGGCCCCGACTCATGGAACTCCGTGTTCATCAAGAACTGCAAGAAGCCCCTATCACGAGCCTTTACCATCCTATGGAGAGGGAGCATGGACACAGGCGTCGTCCCACAGTTACTAAAAACAACAGACATAGCCCCACTCCACAAAGGGGGCAGTAAAGCAACATCAAAGAACTACAGACCGATAGCACTAACATCCCATATCATAAAAATCTTTGAAAGGGTCCTAAGAAGCAAGATCACCACCCATCTAGAAACCCATCAGTTACACAACCCAGGGCAACATGGGTTTAGAACAGGTTGCTCCTGTCTGTCTTAACTATTGGATCACTACGACAAGGTCCTAGATGCACTAGAAGACAAAAAGAATGCAGATGTAATATATACAGACTTTGCAAAAGCCTTCGACAAGTGTGACCCCATGGCGTAATAGCGCACAAAATGCGTGCTAAAGGAATAACAGGAAAAGTCGGTCGATGGATCTATAATTTCCTCACTAACAGAACACAGAGAGTAGTAGTCAACAGAGTAAAGTCTGAGGCAGCTACGGTGAAAAGCTCTGTTCCACAAGGCACAGTACTCGCTCCCATCTTGTTCCTCATCCTCATATCTGACATAGACAAGGATGTCAGCGACAGCAACGTGTCTTCCTTTGCAGATGACACCCGAATCTGCATGACAGTGTCTTCCATTGCAGACACTGCAAGGCTCCAGGCAGACATCAACCAAATCTTTCAGTGGGCTGAAGTTCAACGATGAGAAATTTCAATTACTCAGATATGGTAAACATGAGGAAATTAAATCTTCATCAGAGTACAAAACAAATTCTGGCCACAAAATAGAGCGAAACACCAACGTCAAAGACCTGGGAGTGATCATGTCGGAGGATCTCACCTTCAAGGACCATAACATTGTATCAATCGCATCTGCTAGAAAAATGACAGGATGGATAATGAGAACCTTCAAAACTAGGGAGGCCAAGCCCATGATGACACTCTTCAGGTCACTTGTTCTATCTAGGCTGGAATATTGCTGCACACTAACAGCTCCTTTCAAGGCAGGTGAAATTGCTGACCTAGAAAATGTACAGAGAACCTTCACGGCGCGCATAACGGAGATAAAACACCTCAATTACTGGGAGCGCTTGAGGTTCCTAAACCTGTATTCCCTGGAACGTAGGCGGGAGAGATACATGATTATATACACCTGGAAAATCCTAGAGGGACTAGTACCGAACACACGAAAATCACTCACTACGAAAGCAAAAGACTTGGCAGACGATGCAACATCCCCCCAATGAAAAGCAGGGGTGTCACTAGCACGTTAAGAGACCATACAATAAGTGTCAGGGGCCCGAGACTGTTCAACTGCCTCCCAGCATACATAAGGGGGATTACCAACAGACCCCTGGCAGTCTTCAAGCTGGCACTGGACAAGCACCTAAAGTCGGTTCCTGACCAGCCGGGCTGTGGCTCGTACGTTGGTTTGCGTGCAGCCAGCAGTAACAGCCTGGTTGATCAGGCTCTGATCCACCAGGAGGCCTGGTCACAGACCGGGCTGCGGGGGCGTTGACCCCCGGAATTCTCTCCAGGTAAACTCCAGGTAATGGGTTCAAACCCCACTCATTCCTTTGTTTGTTTCCTGCTATTGAATGTGGTTATTTTAACAGATTATACATATGGTCATTGTATGGGTCACCCAATGCATGATTACAGTAGATTCTAGTTAGCACATTCAGGCAGCACACTTGCAATAAATTTTATTATTTTTTTATTAACACATTGGCCATTTCCCACCAAGGTAGGGTGGCCCGAAAAAGAAAAACTTTCACCATCATTCACTCCATCACTGTCTTGCCAAAGGTGTGCTTACATTACAGTTATAAAACTGCAACATTAACACCCCTCCTTCAAAGTACAGGCACTGTACTTCCCATCTCCAGGGCTCAAGTCCAGCCTGCCTGGTTCCTTGAAACCCTTCATAAATATTACCCTGCTCACACTCCAACAGCATGTCAAGTCCTAAAAACCATTCGCCTCCATTCGCTTCTATCTAATATGCTCAAGCATGCTTGCTGGAAGTCCAAGCCCCTCGCACACAAAACCTCCTTTACCCCTTCCCTCCAACCTCTTCTAGGCCGACCTCTACCCTGCCTTCCCTCCACTATGGATTTATACACTCCCAAAGTCATTCTATTTTGTTCCACCCTCTCTATATGTCCGAACCACCTCAACAACTTCTCCTCACCCCTCTGGATAATAGTTTTGGTAATCCCACACCTCCTCCTAATTTCCAAACTAAGAATTCTCTGCATTATATTCATACCACACACTGCCCTCAGATATGACATCTCCACTGCCTCCAGCTTTCTCCTTGTTGCAACATTCACCACCCATGCTTCACACTCATATATGAGCACTGGTATAACTATACTCTCATACATTCCCCTCTTTGCTTCCATGGGCAAAGTTCTTTGTCTCCACAGACTCCTCAGTGCACCACTCACGTTTTTCCCCTCGTCAATTCTATGATTCACCTCATCTTTCATAGATCTATCTGCTGACATGTCTACTCCTAAATATCTGAACACATTCACCTCCTCCATACTCTCTCCCTCCAATTTGATATCTAATCTTTCATTACCTAATTTTTTTGTTATCCTCATGACCTTACTCTTTCCTATACAGTGGTACCCCGAGTTTCAAACTTAGTTTGTTACAGAAGGCTGTTCAAGTGCCGATACTGGATGAATTTGTTCCCATAAGAAATAATGTAAATTAGGTTAGTCCATTTCAAAGGCCAAAAATACACATACAAATGTACTTACAATAATAAACTTACATAATTGTTTGAGTTGGAGGGGTTCGAAACTCGAGGTACTACTGTATTCACTTTTAATTTTCTTCTTTTACATACTCTACCAAACTCATCCACCCACCTCTGCAACTTCTCTTCAGAATCTCCCAAAAGCACAGTGTCATCAGCAAAGAGCAACTCTGACAACTCCCACTTTGTGTTAGATTCTTTACCTTTTAACCCCACACCTGTTGCGAACACCCAAGCATTCACGTCTCTTACAACTCCACCTATAAATCTACTGAACAACCATGGTGACATACACATCCTTGTCTAAGGCCTACTTTTACTGGGAAATAATCTCCCTCTCTCATACATGCTCTACCCTGAGCCTCACTATCCTCGTAAAAACTTTTCGCCACTTTCAATAACCTACCTCCTATTCCAAACATTTGTAACATGACTGAAATATTCTATCCAAGAGCAAACTGCACCAGAAGACTGATACAGCATGTCATAAATTTTTGGAAAACTGAAGTCCACTTTGTGCATCAAATCCTATTCAAACAAATATCCATGGGCTATTTACCTCCTGCCCCGCAGTTAGACAATGGGCAGCCAGGCCACACGATGTAAACAATACCCATGCTCCATCATGTGCCAATCAATTAGTTTTGGAACTTTCCAGGACCCTATTTCATCTCTGGATATTAACCACGGCATCCAAGATGAATACTAATGTTGGGATTCCAAGAAAAAGAAAAAGCATGAAGTATTAGCATTATGAAAAAAGAGAGATCTTGAAGGTGGGGTATGTGTGATGCAGACAGCCCACACTTTTAGTCGCAGTGAAGTAACAATTCATAAATTTATTAAGAATGTGCGATGAATAATCTGGTGTGATGGATAATCTATACTGTGACCTCCTAAAAAGAATAACGAAGGTCAACATAAGTAAATAAAACAGAAAAGTTACTGAAAATGTGAATTGAGCAGAAAATTACAAAAGGTGCCCCACTAATTAGAATTTAAGGTAAGAACAATTTTTTTTTTTAGCTACATGTACAGTGTTTTATTAATGTAAACTTACTGTGCAATGTAAGTTAATGTAGCAGTAAAAAACTTAAATTAAAAAAACTTATTTGACTTTTTCCTTGTGGTCTCAAAAACATAACCCTATTTTTCCCCTTATGGCCTTAGTCCAGTTAACATGATTTAAGTTGAAATGCCAGTTTCCAGAAACGTAAAGCAAGATAAAGATTTTATTTCTTTGCAAGGTTATAATGTGTATTTACAATTTTGATTGGTTAAGTACAAAGAAAGCCACTATCATGCCGGGGCATTTCGGGCAGACTTATCCTAATACATAATAACTACTTAAGTCTAGACAAGTTAAGTGTGTGTGTTAATTGAAACCATACTATACACAAAACCACTTTGAAATTTACAAAGGCTAAAAAGAGTAACAGTAACAACTCACATTTGGTATGGAAAAGCCAAATACATGGACAGGGTCTTTATCAAAGGTCACTGAGGCTTTAGATGGCACTTCAAGCTCTGTCCAGTTGACAGTCATAGTTGTATTCAAAGCTGTTGTCACCACCAGGAAAGAGGGAGCTCCATGAGTACCCCATAGATGATGAATAGAGTCGTTCTTGCCATTGGCAGTAACATGGATTAACCAAGGTTCATCACAGTCCATTCTTGCATCTGTTTCTTTTTCTCCACAACCTGGGTTGACCTCTGGTGTTAATACCTGTTGGGACACAATTATGAATATTATGGAAGCAATGTAGACAGCAGCACTGTAACCCACACTCGACTCCCTCAACAGACATGAATACATAATTATACTAAACTTTATCAATGTATGGTAGCACTTCCTTAAACTGCAGTTCATAGAATGTAGGTGAGAAAGATATGTCATGATTTACACCTGCAAAATTCTGGAGGAAATGCTCCCAAATCTGAACACTGAAAATGCTAAATATGAAAGCAAGAGGCTTGGCAGACGGTGCAAAATATCTCTGATGAAAAGCAAGGGTATGGGTAGTACACTAAGGGAATAAGTAAGTTTATTTAGGTACAGGTACATATAATTACAATTATCATCCATAGTAACGTGTGTATGTGTGGAGACATGACTCTTCAATGTACTCCCTTCTTGAAGAAGGGAAATTACCAATAAACCCCTGGCTGTGGTACATATGCTGGACTGCATGCACCTTGTACCAACAAGCCAGCATCAGAGAGGCCTGGTCTGGGACCAAGAAGCATGGGCATTAACCCTTGAAATCAGTTCCAATGGATATAATCAATTCCAATGGATATAAGTAACTTTGACTTTCTTGGGTTATCCTAGGTAATTTACACTATGTATGATAATTGTACTTATGTGCACATGTACCTAAATAAACTTACTTAAAGTGATCACCATCACTCCAACAGTCCAAAACACTTCTCCTTGCAAAAATCAAAATTTGAAATAATAATTTGTTTACAAATTGTCATCAGAAATTTAGCCATGCCATAAAAAAATACAGCATTCACAATAATCACTTTATTGCCAGGTGAATACCGTAATTTTTGTGCCTTAACCATTTGTATTTATCCTCACAGCTTGAACTGTCTTAATGATAGTTCATTCATGTGTGTATGCACTGGCATACACACATATTTTCTTTTGTCTTACTGTATTCTGGTGCTGGCTCTACCCTTGACCTGGTACAATTATTATTATTATAATCAAAAGGAAGTGCTAAACATACTAGGGTCATACAACACTGACCCAGTACAGAAATCCTCTACTGCACCGTTTCTGACAAACTGTAGGTGTCAGAAAAAGCTGCTCCTCCTTTTGGATTCCTGTATTAGGTTCTTACCCGACTCTTTTTACCTTTATTCCTAGTATATATCCTTTATTGTGTAATAATAAGATATTATCTCCTACATTGTATAATAATAAGGTATTAAATGGACCCCAATGAAAATAAGTCACTCTTGTCTAACTTTTTTGGGTTATCTCAGGTTCTCTACACATATGCTGCTATGTATGATAATCTATGTAACTGTATTTGTGTATACCTTTGTGTATACCAGGCCCGGTGGCCTGGTGGCTAAAGCTCCCGCTTCACACACGGAGGGCCCGGGTTCGATTCCCGGCGGTGGAAATATTTCGACACGTTTCCTTACACCTGTTGTCCTGTTCACCTAGCAGCAAATAGGTACCTGGGTGTTAGTCGACTGGTGTGGGTCGCATCCTGGGGGACAAGATTAAGGACCCCAAAGGAAATAAGTTAGACAGTCCTCGATGACGCACTGACTTTCTTGGGTTATCCTGGGTGGCTAACCCTCCGGGGTTAAAAATCCGAACGAAATCTTATCTTATCTTATCTTATCTTACCTACAGTACTTGGATTTTTTTTTCCCCATTGAACAGCTGTTCTTTCTAATACGCTTGTAACAGGATTCCAATAGGGAATATTTCTCCAATTCTCAGGGAAACTGAATTGTTGGATATGATCTGACCTATATTTTAACAAGTTCTGTCACACTATCACTTTTGGGTATTGGCCCAGACAGCACATTCACCATATATTAAGATTGTTACTCAAATTCTACTTAAACTTGTGAGGCTTTGGGCAAAGATGTTGTAAAAGTTATGCATAATAGCAGTGAGCTGCTCATAGTGTATAGAGTACAGTAATGTCTATGTCTGGACAATATACAGTACTACGTATATACATTACCTAAGATCAACTCTCACTGAATCCTATTCCACAGGTGCTGTACTGATCCTTAAGTATTTAGCACTTCAAAATTAATAATAATAATGTCATTCCAACTTCCTTATCTGGTTTATTATAGTACAATATTTGGAGGACCTTAATCTTAATGCTGTGGATTAAATTTACGGAAAATTGTACTCTCAAGTCGTACATCTGCTCAGTTTTCATAGAGTTGACAATTGGCCGCCGTATCAAACGTGTCCGCCTGCCCGCGCCCACACAAAGCATCCCACGCATTCTGACTCAGTTTGGCTTTGTTTCTCGTTGAGTGAGCATTACCCCATACGTTCGAATAACATTTCATAATAATCCATTGTTTTTTGTGCTTGTTTATTGAGTGAGACTGCTAAATAAGCCACCATGTGTCCTCGAGAAGGATTTTGAAGGGTTTGAGGCTAACCCTGATGACCCTACACCTATTTTGGAATCTATCGGGGAAGTCCATGGGGTTGAATGTGAGTGGCCAGGATGTGGAAGAGTTGGTGGAGGACCACAGGGAAGAGCTAACCACTGAAGAGCTGCAAGACCTTTAAATGGAACAGCAACATATTGCAGCTGAGGAAATTACTTCAGAGGAGGAGGAAGAGAGAGGGGAGAATATGCCTTCTTCAGTGATTAAAGACATGTGTGCAAAGTGGAATGAGTTGCAAAGTTTTGTGGAGAAATATCACCCTAACAAAGCTGTTGCAAGCTGTGTCTGCAACATGTTCAAAGACAATGCCTCGTCCCATTTTAGGCAAATCTTAAAGAGACGCCAGAAACAGACCTCTCTGGATAGATTTTTTTTTGCGACAGGGGTCAAGTGACTCTCAAGCTGGTCCTAGTGCCAGTAAAAGACAACGAAGGGACGTATCCCCAGATAGGGCCTTGATACCTAAAGTCCATATGGAGGGGGATTCCCCTTCCAAACAATAACCTCTTCTCCTCCCTCTCCCCTCCTCGCTGTCTTTCATACGCCAACAAAAGTCTTCAATAAAGCTAAAAGTGATGTTAAATGTTGCATCTATCCATTTCATCAGTCATTTATATTTATTTATCATTGTTTTCTTATGTAAAACTATAGTTATTCTCTATAAAATGTATTTTTTGGTAATATTTTTGGGTGTCTGGAAGGAAATATGTAATTGGATTTACATTATTTCTTATGGGAAATATTGCTTCAGTTTTTATACAGTTTGGTTTTCATCAGAATTTCTGGATGAATTAATCATGAAAACCGAGGTTCCACTGTATGAATAGAGTTAACAAAATAAAATACATAAAAAAAAAACCTTACAGTATTCCACTCGATTTCTTTTCTTTTTTGTCTTCTGTGTCACATGTTCAAATGAAAAAATTAATATTTGATGCCTCATAGAATTCACAAAACCATAATATATATATATAAGAAATATTAGTAAAGAAACTGAATTATCATTTATAATACAGTGGACCCCCGCATAACGATTACCTCCGAATGCGACCAATTATGTAAGTGTATTTATGTAAGTGCGTTTGTACGTGTATGTTTGGGGGTCTGAAATGGACTAATCTACTTCACAATATTTCTTATGGGAACAAATTCGGTCAGTACTGGCACCTGAACATACTTCTGGAGTGAAAAAATATCGTTAACCGGGGGTCCACTGTTTAGTATAAAACTAGAAATATAAATAAACGACTTAAAAATTAGTGTAGCTTAGGTGCCCCGTGGCCTGGCGGCTAAAGCTCTCGCTTCACACAGTGAAGGTAAAAACATTGGGCATGTTTCTTTGCACTGGTTGTCTATGCTCCCCATCAGTAAAATGGGTACCTGCGTGTTAGTCGATTGGTGTGGGTCACATCCTGGAGACAAAACTGACCTAATTTGCCCGAAATGCTCTGCATAACAAGTGGCTTTCTATATAGTAGTATGTCACTGATGTCAGCTATGGTCTGTATACCTTGTATATGTACTTGTAAAAATAAAGATGATATTATTATTATTATTATTATCACACCTGAACAAGAGCAAGATAAACCCACCAGGCCTGGTGGCCTGGTGGCTAAAGCTCCCGCTTCACACACGGAGGGCCCGGGTTCGATTCCCGGCGGGTGGAAACATTTCGACACGTTTCCTTACATCTGTTGTCCTGTTCACCTAGCAGCAAATAGGTACCTGGGTGTTAGTCGACTGGTGTGGGTCGCATCCTGGGGGACAAGATTAAGGACCCCAATGGAAATAAGTTAGACAGTCCTCGATGACGCACTGACTTTCTTGGGTTATCCTGGGTGGCTAACCCTCCGGGGTTAAAAATCCGAACGAAACCTTATCTTATCTTACAGTACTGTACATAACTTTTGAGACTAAACCATGTCTACAGTTAGATATTAATTAAAATAAATGAATCTGAAGACAACAAACCTTTTGTGGTTAATAATCCAATCTTTTTCAAAGTGATTATGCAGAGTTAAACATTCAAAGATTTAAAATTTTTTTGCTAAAGCTACAGTAAGCACAGACAGCATATTCAATTCAAGTTTATTTCCATTGATACATTGTTTATACAGGAAAGAATGAAACATGAATGCATGGTTATACAGAGCATTTAGTTAGGGTAAGCTTATTTGCAGTTTCCACAGCAATGTGATCATAAGATGAAAATGATCTTACTGGTACGTATTACCAATCCATCCGCAATCAGAAGTCTCAAATATTTTCCAACAGGCAAGGGGCTCAGCTATATATAGATTTATTAAAACTGTAGGTTTTAATAACCTAAAGTAACGTAACCTAAACCTATAGAATGTTGTTGGTTAACCTGTGGATATATTTTATCATGTAACTGATGATTCACTGACAATAGTGATTTGAAAAGTGGATGACTTTTCTTAACACCAAACTAAGTACATACATGCAACATTATTTTAACGTTTTTAACACACCAGCCGTCTCCCACCGAGGCTGGGTAACCCAAAAAAGAAACACTTTCACCATCATTCACACCATCACTGTTGTACCAGAGGTGTGCAGATTTGACAGTTAAAATGTCCCTCCAAACATCAAATATCCCAAACCCTCCTTATATTATATTAGCACAAATTATTTTCCAGTTTCTGCTCCATCTTTATTTTTGTACTCTTTGGCTTTAGTTTGATTTTATTAATACTATTACTATTCAAATTAGTAACAAATTTTTAATGCAAGAATAGGCTAGGTTAAGCAATATTATTTTGATGACAATAAAAACAGCAATTGTGATTATAATATAATCACATTATTAGCATTATTATAATCAAGGGGAAGCGCTAAACCCGTAGGATTATACAGCGCCTGTGGGGGGTGGAAGGTATTCAAGGTTAATTCAGGGAACTGGAGAACAGATCCCATTCCTTGGATCAAGAGCCTTGAGGGGTATATTATCACAGTGATCAAGATAATGATAAAGATTTTTATTGCAATAAAATACATTGAAGTTTCACTGAATGAATTTACAGGTTAGTTAGTCTTGGGATAACAAAATATTAACATAGAAATAAGTTACTTTGTTTTGGGTTATCCATGGTAAATTACACTGTATGATTATTGTAAAGTTTATTTGATCACAGGTGCACATAATTCAAGCACCTCGAGGGATACCTTGAAGGTCCCTCGAGGGATACCTTGTGGGTCTCTCAAGGGATATCTTGAAAGGCCCCTCGAGGGATACCTTGAAAGACCCCTCGAGGGATACCTTGAAAGACCCCTCGAGGGATACCTTGAAAGACCCCTCGAGGGATACCTTGAAAGGCCCCTCGAGGGATACCTTGAAAGACCCCTCGAGGGATACCTTGAAGGGCCCCTCGAGGGATACCTTGAAAGACCCCTCGAGGGATACCTTGAAGGGCCCTCAAGGGATACCTCAAGAGAAACAGCAGCCATTTTAGTTAAAAATATAAGCAGAGTTACATTACTTACAGTCCTGGTAGCCGAGGTCGTAGTTAACACTTGTAAAGTCACCATCACCATCAGTCTCCACCATATTAAACTAGACATTACTACTAGATACCTAAACTAGTGTAATAGAGAAGTATAAGAGCAGTTATGTTACTAGACGAGTGTTGAGCACACTAGACGAGTGTGAGAGAGGAACTGACTCCCTGACAGATAAAAATGTTCACCAGGAGATAAAACTATTGACCCTGAGGATGATAACAGGTGTCATCATCATCATCATCACCAGCACCAATAACAACCTTGATCACACTATCAACACTCACTCATCATCACACCTTACTAACACTAGTCACCTTCCCTGACTTATCTTAAGTAATTTACGATATGTAAGTTAATTTATTCAGGTATACACAAATATAGTTACATAGATTATCATACATAACAAGATATGTGTAGAAAAATTATTATAACCCAAAAAAGTCAGATAAAGTGACTTATTTCCGTTGGAATCCTTATATATTTATGTGTACCTGTGCCTAAATGAACTTATTAATAGTATTATTATTATTATTATTATTATTATAAAAAAGAAGCGCTAAACCATAAGGGTTACTAACAGTAAGGTCACTTGACTGTTTTTTTGTGTTATCCTGGGTAATTTACACTATGTATGATAATTGTAATTATGTGAACCTGTACCTAAATAAACTTACTAATTGTAAGGTCACCTTGTCAGACTTTTTCCTTGTATATATTAGAGTGATAATTCACCTCTAGGATTATATCCATTTTTTCGTATCTTCTGAAAAAGTCTTTTGTTATTTGTAGTTTGAATGTGTAAATAAGGTTTTATTTAGGCCTGATGCATAATTTTAAATTCTGTTTCGATTCTGTGAAGTAGATTATATAGAAACAGTAAAAATGAACCTGGTATAACTCAGTAAAGTTAAATGAATGAAATCAATGGTTGACATAACTCAGCTGGCTGACATAACTCAGGTGGTTGACATAACTCAGCTGGCTGACAGATAACTCAGGTGGTTGACATAACTCAGGTGGTTGACATAACTCAGGTGGTTGACATAACTCAGCTGGCTGACATAACTCAGGTGGTTGACATAACTCAGCTGGCTGACATAACTCAGGTGGTTGACATAACTCAGGTGGTTGACATAACTCAGGTGGTTGACATAACTCAGCTGGCTGACAGAGACCTACACTGGTTGACATAACTCAGCTGGCTGACAGATAACTCAGCTGGCTGACAGACCTACACTGGTTGACATAACTCAGCTGGCTGACAGATAACTCAGCTAGCTGACAGAGACCTACACTGGTTGACATAACTCAGCTGGCTGACAGAGACCTACACTGGTTGATATAACTCAGCTGGCTGACAGATAACTCAGGTGGTTGACATAACTCAGCTGGTGACAGATAACTCAGGTGGTTGACATAACTCAGCTGGTGACAGATAACTCAGGTGGTTGACATAACTCAGCTGGCTGACAAAGAATTCAGCTGGTTGATATATAATTAAGCTCGCTGATACGTAACTAAGCTGGTTGACACAACTCGGTTGACAGATCACTCAGCTGGTTACAGATAACTCAGCTGGCTGACAGATAACTCAGCTGACTGACAGATAACTCGGTTGGCTGACAGATAACTCAGCTGGCTGAGATAACTGGCTGACAGATAACTCAGCTGGCTGAGATAACTCTGGCTGACAGAAAACTCAACTGAATGACAGATAACTCAGTTGGCTGACAGATAACTCAGCTGGCTGACAGATAACTCAGCTGGCTGAGATAACTCTGACTGACAGATAACTCAGCTGACTGACAGATAACTCGGTTGGCTGACAGATAACTCAGCTGGCTGAGATAACTGGCTGACAGATAACTCAGCTGGCTGAGATAACTCTGGCTGACAGAAAACTCAACTGACTGACAGATAACTCAGTTGGCTGACAGATAACTCAGCTGGCTGACAGATAACTCAGATGGTTGACAGATAACTCAGCTGGCTGACAGATAACTCAGCTGGCTGAGATAACTCTGGCTGACAGATAACTCAGCTGATTGACAGATAACTCAGTTGGCTGACAGATAACTCAGCTGGCTGAGATAACTGGCTGACAGATAACTCAGCTGGCTGAGATAACTCTGGCTGACAGAAAACTCAACTGAATGACAGATAACTCAGTTGGCTGACAGATAACTCAGCTGGCTGACAGATAACTCAGCTGGCTGAGATAACTCTGGCTGACAGAAAACTCAGTTGGCTGACAGATAACTCAGTTGGCTGACAGATAACTCAGCTGGCTGACATATAACTCAGCTGGCTGACATATAACTCAGCTGGCTGACATATAACTCAGCTGGCTGACATATAACTCAGCTGGCTGACATAACTCAGCTGGCTGACATGTAACTCAGCTGGCTGACATATAACTCAGCTGGCTGACATATAACTCAGCTGATTGGTAGATAACTTAATTCCCTTGATTATTGTCCTTGACGATGGTAACTTGTGTTGAAATGGTATCCTTGGGCATCACCCCCACGGGTTTAGCGCGCTATCATCAGTTCAATGCTAACAGATAAGGTAAGTACAGGAGAATACCTCAGAATAACACAAAACCAAAGCCAAAGCTCCAGTCTATGCAATAATACGATTATTATTACATTCATGAGGAAGCGTTAAACCTGTATGGGTCATACAATGCCCTGGGGGATATAAAATTCAATCAGGCTGGATCCAAGGAGACGTTAGGTTCAGTTCCTTGGATTAAGAGCACCTTATTGGCATCAAGAAACCTCCTACAAGATGCCTTAATCAGTGCACAATAGATTACAGTTTTGTTGAAGAGTCGTGGACCTAAAACACTTTTTAGTAAGTCCACGTTCAATAATATTTTAATTTATTTGTTTATTGTAATCAGTGGAGGCCTTGCAACCATGAAGGTTGTGCAGGGTGAGGTGATATTATTATTTTTATTTCTACCAGTACAAGGTATACAGACCATAGCTGACATCAGTGACATACTACTATATAGAAAGTCGCTTGTTATGCTGAGCATTTCCCGCAAATTAGGTCAGTTTTGTCCCAGGATGCGACCCACACCAGTCCACTAACACCCAGATACCTGCTTACTGCTAGGTGAACATGGACAGCAGGTGTCTTAAGGAAACGTGTCCTAATGTTTCCACCTGTACCGGGGATCGCACCACGGACCTCAGTGTGTGAGCTGTGCGCTAGCAGTCGAGCTAGAAGTCCATGCTAGTGGCTTTCTTTTATGCCTAGCAATGCTGTATAGCCCTTGTGGCTTAGCGCTTCTTTTTGATTATAATAATAATAATAATATGTCTAGCAATATTTATTACATGTAAATTACATTATCTGTGTACCGTAATAATACATTCTCATTTCATACCTGAAACTGGATCTCCTCTTCCATTTCTTGGATCAAATCCGTGGATCTCCCATGGGTATGGGGTGTATAATATAGATACTAAATTAACTTCCATTGCCCAAGTGCTGTACGGCTCCTACGGGTTTCGTGCTTCCCCAGGAACATGATCCATACACAAGACTAAATAACCACGGGAACAGAGGTGTTTACCTCTGTTGCCGAGACTAATATTATCTCAGAGGTTTTGCATGAGAAACTGGTGATGTATATTTAAATGGAACAATAATGTTGATAATTGTGTAGATGCGTTACAAATGCAAGAGCTGGAATTCAAATTCTTCAAAAAATCAAGTCAACAAGGGCTGAAATTGGAGTTTAATCTCTTCAAATCCATCTAAGTAGATTATCAGTCCCAGGAGCTATGCATCAACTTCCTCAAACAGCTAGGTGAGGAAAAAGACTGGTGATAAGGACTTGCCTTATATGGGTCAGTAAGTTTGCTGAAGTGTTCCTCAATTCTTATGTAAAGGACCCCAATGGCAAATCACTCTGTGACTTTTCTGGGTTATCCCAGGTTCTCTACACATATGCTGCTATGTATGATAATCTATGTAACTGTATTTGTGTATACCTGAATAAACTTACTTATAACCCTCTCAAACAGTTGACGAGTAGTAGGACCAAGAACTTTCTGTAATAAGTAGACTGACCTAGTGTTTGACCTTCCCTAACAATCACAACTAGGTAGGTCAAGTCCAAAAGTTGTAAATCTTAATGTTAGTTTAATATGTTTATTATGCACCACATACCCATCCTGTGGGCGGTAGTCAAAAGATTACAGAGGTACATAATTGGTCCAGGGACTGGACTCCAAAGTTTTGATAGCTGAGCAAGTTACAGAGGTAATGAACTCACAATTTACAAAGGTAATGAACTCACAATTTACAAAGGTAATGAACTCACAATTTACAAAGGTAATGAACTCCAGGTAGGTCTTAATGTGGCCCGGTGGCCTGGTGGCTAAAGCTCCCGCTTCACACACGGGTCGGAGGGCCCGGGTTCGATTCCCGGCGGGTGGAAACATTTCGACACGTTTCCTTACACCTGTTGTCCTGTTCACCTAGCAGCAAATAGGTACCTGGGTGTTAGTCGACTGGTGTGGGTCGCATCCTGGGGGACAAGATTAAGGACCCCAATGGAAATAAGTTAGACAGTCCTCGATGACACACTGACTTTCTTGGGTTATCCTGGGTGGCTAACCCTCCGGGGTTAAAAATCCGAACGAAATCCTAAATAATTCATTACGAGTGTGACCGGATATAAACATGTAAATAGTTCATTATCACTGTAACTTGTCCATCTATCAAAACTTTGGAGGCCGCGGGGGCGTTGACCCCCGGAACTTTCTCCAGGTAAACTCCAGTTCCTGGACCCATTATGTACCTCTGTAATCCTTTGACTGCCTCCCACAGGATGGGTATGGGGTACATAATGAGCATATTAAACTAACTCTAACATCTAGGCATGTAGAAGATCCAGGAATTATAAATTTCCTCACACAGCCAAGCAAGTAGTAAGGCCTGGAGCTAGAGTTCTGTCTCCTAAAACACTTAGTTACATATGTAATGCAGTATAATAACTAATAACAATTATACTGGTCAACTCTTCATTTTCTACTAATGTTTAGCTTTCATTGGTATTATATACACCTGGAAAATCCTAGAGGGACTAGTACCGAACTTACACACGAAAATCACTCACAACGAAAGCAAAAGACTTGGCAGACGATGCAACATCCCCCCAATGAAAAGCATGGGTGTCACTACCACGTTAAGAGACCATACAATAAGTGTCAGGGGCCCGAGACTGTTCAACTGCCTCCCAGCATACATAAGGGGGATTACCAACAGACCCCTGGCAGT